TTTTCTAGTGATATTTTCTTTAGATTTAAACAGCGAGCAGATACATGCTTAAAAATTAAAATTATAACTATATGATGGTTGTTGTTTTATATTTTTTAATGAAATGAAATGAAATGAAAAGTCATTTATTCAGTCTAGGCTGTTACAAGCACTTGTGAAAGTCAAGAAGCTACGCCATCGGTTCGCAAAACTACGGCGGGAGACCTTGTACTGAGAAGAACCGGCAAGAAACTCAGCAAGGGCTGCTTTTTTCTCCCTGTATTGATATATACAGAGTCGTCAAGTTGAAAAATGACTTCAGACATACTTCTGAAGTCACCTTCCATTACATTATTTAGGGTATAATATATAGTTACAACAAATTTTATATTTAGTATATAGGAAGCGGCATTAGATAGATACCATACTACTGTTACAAAACTGACTCATACCCATCAAATAAGAAATTACAAGAAACACTATGTCCATGCATTACGATCATTTAGATAATCATTAACTTTATAATAGTCCTTATTCATAATATAATTATAATTCTTAATCTGAGATTTAATTTGATTAGTGGAAGCTCAATCAGATCTTGGGGAACTTTGTTACACAATGCAATACTACATCCCAGAAACGAACCTCTTGATTTTTGAAGTCTGAAACATGGAACGGCAAGCTTGTTCTTAAATCTCGTGTTAAAGTTATGGGTTTGACTTTTTTTTGCAAATGCGTCATAGTTTCTTCTTACATATATTATATTTTAATAGATGTATTGCGATGCCAGTGTTAAAATATTAATTTCTTTAAATTTTTCTCTAAGAGATTCTCTTGCCTTTAAATTATATATGGCGCGAACAGCTCTCTTTTGCAGTACGAAAATACTTTCTATATTAGCAGCTGAGCCCCACAACAAAAGGTCATATGACATAACGCTATGAAAGTAACCAAAGTAAACCATTCTTGCCGTTTCCACATCAGTTAGGAGTCTTACTTTTTTAACAGCGAAGGCCGCAGAGCTCAGTCTACTTGATAAGGCATCAATATGAGGATCCCATTGCAGATACGAGTCTAAAGTAATACCCAGAAAGTTTGTAGAATCCACTAACTCTACAGGCTGGTCATTTATTTTTAAACTAGTATTAACCTGCCTCACATTAGGTAAAGTAAACTTAACACATTTTGTTTTGCTAGAGTTTAGTTTTAAATTATTTACCGTAAACCGGTGAAGGACTTCAGAGAGAGCACAATTTACTTCGTCATAACAATCATTTCCTCTCCTAGCTTTAAACACTAAAGAGGTGTCATCAGCAAATAGTACTGTCTCACACAAATCTCTTGTAAAGTGAGGAAGGTCATTAATATAAATAAGGAAAAGCAATGGGCCCAATATTGAACCCTGGGGCACGCCCATAGAAATGGGTGCTCCTGTAGACTCAGCTTCATTTATAACTACTTTCTGAATCCTAGCAGAAAGATAAGACTGTATCAGACTTAGTGAAATATTTGATACACTATAATGCTCTTCATTTTATTTAACAATGTTTCATGGCTAACGCAGTCAAACGCCTTAGATAAATCGCAAAAAATGCCAATAGCATCGTGCTTACTCTCCCATATATCAAAAATGTGTTTGAGAAGTGCAGTTCCAGCATCAGTAGTACTTTTGCCTCTAGTGAAACCAAACTGTTTTAAATGAAGTAGCTTATTTATAGAAAAGTGTGCTAGTAATTGGTTATAAATTATTTTCTCAAATACTTTACTTAGCGCTGGTAATACAGATATAGGCCTAAAATTGCTGGGATCTGATTTATCACCAGCCTTAAAAAGAGGGATAACTTTAGCACAATTCATTAGATCTGGAAACACTCCCTCATAAATACATTTGTTAAATATAATGGCCAGTTGTGGCGCAATGACAGTGATAATCGGTTTTAATATATATGTTGATATTCACCATAAATCCTCTGTCTTTTTAATATTAATAGAATTAATTTTTTTTATAATACAATCACTACTGATATGTCTAAAATAAAAATCATTACTGCACTTATCATCATTTCACTCAACTAACCACATTGCTAACCTAGAACAAGAATTAAGATTTCTAGTTGATTCAAACGGTGCACTAGAAAAGAAATTTTCAAAAGTGTTGGCAACGGCATCATCTGTCCGAATAATCTTGTTGTCTATTTTTAAAGAATATGTGCGTTCATTGAATTTATTTCTTCCAGTTTCATTATTAATTATATTCGAAGTTGTCTTTATTTTATTATCTGATAGACTATTTGTTTTTTGATAAAAATTTAGCTTTCGCTATGGCACACACCTTTTTAAAAGTTTTTGAATAGTTTTTGACATATTCTATAAACTTAGGATCAGATGAGGTTGCTTTGAGAGCATATAATTGATACAACTTATTTCTACTTTTGTAAATACCAGGTGTGGCCCAATCACTAAATTTCTTTTTAGAGCTATGGCATTTAATTAATTTGCATTTGAATATTTTATTAAATTCATCTTTAATTAAATTGAATAAATCTTCATACAAAATATTATTATTATTACAGACTGGTAAGTCCGACATTTTATGATAAACACTATCTTTAAATTTATTTATACCCGTTTGTGTAATTGATCTATAAGTTAGGTCATGTTTGTGTGAAGCATGATGGTGTTCAAGAGAGGCTAATTGTCCGCTATGATCAGAATTAATACAATTTATTATTGATTTATTAAAAACTTTCCTATTACAAAAAATATTATCCAAACAGGTTGCTGATGCATGTGTGATGCGGGTAGGCTTAAAGAAGATATGCTCCAAGTTATATGATTTAAATAAGTTTAGAAACCTACCCACTAACGGACACTTAACTAAAATATTTATATTAAAATCACCACATACAACAAGCACTTTATTACATTTACATACTATATTGTAAGCGTCTTCCATAGCGGACTCAAATTGAGTGTAATTCCCAGATGGGGGTCGATATACACATATTATGATTATTCCATCAAGTTCCACACAAGATAGTTCAATATTAGGTTCAACTGAAAGTGAAACAATATCTGAACGTTCTTTGTATTTAAGATCATTCTGTAAGATTATGAGAGAGCCTCCCCTGATAGCCGATTTCCTACAAAAACTACTAGCAACTGTATAATTATCTAAGTTCATAACTAATTCATAATCTCTGAGCCAGTGCTCAGTAATACATAATATTCTAATATTCTTTGCATTTAAAAATAAGCATACTTCTAGGTCTTTACCAGAAAAGCCTTGTATATTTTGGTGAACAATATTTAGGTATTTAGACTTTTCCTTGGTCATGTTGTAGCTAGAGAGTTCCTCTGTTGTCTTAAGAACTAATTTAAATTACAATTAATGTCAGTATTTGGAACAAATTCCAAGGTCTGATCTACATAATTATGCTGCTCAATAGAAGCAGTAGTGATAGCCAAATTTTTGGCTATGTGTGTAAAATAAAATAATAGCGAAGAAGCTATTTGTCTCTTATTGTAATATGAAAGATAATATTTATCTCTTGTCATTTTATAATTATATATTAATTTATTTATATCTATTAGATGTACTATTTGACTACTATACTGAGTCATGGTACTTAATGCCAAATTTAGCCTATACCTAATATTATTTTCTTCATTTGATAGACTCCTACTATATGGAAATGTAAACATAACTATTCTATTTACATTTAAAGAACACAAAGAGTTATAGTAGGTCATAATGTCATTTTTGTAAATATTGCCTCTATTACCAATTAAAATAATTAAACTTGTATTTTTGTCAAGTTCAAGAGTTAATATTTTTTTCATTAATTGGTGCATTGTGGCACCTGGCAAACAATAATTAATTATGCTTTCACCCAGCTGTTTTTTTAATCTTTACCTAATTCGTCACACAACATTATATACTTCTGACAGTTACTCTGCTTAAAAGAATTACAACTAGTTGTGAGCTCCGAGTGAACAGATTTAGTGATCATGGACTCACATACTATATCAGTGTCATTTTGTTCAATTCTACTCTGGTTTGATACCAAAGACTGACATTTAACAGGTGTGTCTTCGTGAAGGGAGGTATTAGATAGATACTTAAAGGCCAGAATATATTCATCTATCTGTTTTTTGGAGTTATTATAATTCTGAGTCATTTTAGATAATGATTGCTGAAGGCTTTTTAACTTAATATTCAATGACTCCATATTTTGTTCATATGTTAATCTATTTTCTTCAATTATGGAACGGCAAATACCTAATTTTTGTAATAACTGTGTACGTTCTTTAATAAACTCAATATTTCTATAAACAATTACAATATCGATTACCTATTCGGAATGCTATGGAGCCAAAGATTTCATATGGAGCTATATCCTATATGTATGTAATTCTACTATGTTAAAATCCACAGGTTTAGGCCTTTAGAGTAAGAGTAAAGATCCCAAGGCCGCCAGCCAAAGCTAAACTAATACTACCCGATTATCCATATTTTGTCCATTAGAAAATAAGTAAGGTCTGGTTCCTCAGGATCTTCCACTACTATATCTACCATCGGGTCATCATTGTTTTAAGCTATTCCTACAAAAATATAGTTATCTATGTACCATTATAAGAATTTCTATGCGTTACCCTTGCATCCCATAACACAAAACTTGCAGTACTACTTACTAGGGTTAAGCTTATTGGTGTGAGGATTACAGAGTATTTCTATGCTTCCATCTGTTATACTGGTATATTCATTTGTTTGGAGTTACTGTAATAATTCGATCCACTCAGGTTCGAATGGTCTAGAGGTTCCAGACGGAGAGGAGACTCCCCCCGTGGGGAGATGCCATCCGCCTAGGACTCGCCAATTCTCGGCTTGAGGTCCCCTAAAGATCTCGCCGTCCCCAAACCCGGTGTCGTTGTAAGGGTCATCTGCGACCAACAGCATACAAACTAAAAAAAATATTAAATATAATTCATCTAATTGCGTGTCTGCTAATTGCTTACAGCAACAAGGGCCACACGGACGCCGACCACAAGGGGTACGAAGGCAAGCACGGACATGACGAGCACCACGAACACCATTCCCACCACGGCAAGAAAGGCGGCAAGGATGGAGGTTCCCACTGGGGCTACCAACAGAAGCACTAGTCCTTATCACCAAGACATAAGGCTTCATTTCTCCACGACGCTACTTCACGGATGGTCCTGTCAGTTATTGGCTCTAGTGTTCGTTATGCAGATAACGTTTTACTCTGGCCTGAGGTACTAAGGATATTTACATATTGCACGATGCGGCAACGCCCGACCATATAGGCGGACGTCGCAGTCGTGCTACAGCGCTGCGGTGTAGTGTATAACAATACATCGGGGTCTCGCATTTTTTGATGAATTTTCCTGCGAATTCTGTTCATACGTAATGTAAAAACAATATACAGTAAGGCTGGCATTTCTCAAGGCTATTTGCAATTGCTATTTATAATTTGGACAGCAGAATCACCTTTTCAGTCCATAAAAAGCACGAAATGGTTAATACTGCAAACTTTTAATACTAAATTTATACTTCAAAATGTCTACAATTCTGCCAACGGTTATTTCTTTCTATAAGATTTAACTATGCTCAACAACGCGCCATAAGAACGCAGTTCTGACCACTTGCAGTGCAATATGTAAATGCCTTAAACCCTAAACGTTTCTAGGGGTAATTTTTCATTCTCATCAGCTAGTACAATACTTAGATCCTAGATAACGTTCAATCAAAAATCCAACTGTGGTCCTATTCTGGAAGAACAAACTTACTTTTTCAGTTCGGAATACGCCGGTGTCATTTGAATTGTATTTGAAATTCATGTTTTATAATTTTAAATCACACCACGGGTTCAGAGGTATAAAATGAGGCTGTTCTTAAAGTATAGCACAAGCCTCAGAATACTACAAGTTATAGAATTTCGTTTGAACTATACTGTTTCCAGTATTTTAATGATAGTTCAGAGTTTTTCTAAAGTACCGGTGGTAGTAGTAGATATAATTTTGAGAAGAATGTCATTGTAGTTGATGTGTGCGACAATTTTATAAATAAGGCACAAATTTTTTTTTAAGTATTGCATTAAAAAAAACGAGCTAACGTTTTAAAGCAACACTTGTTCATTGTTAGTTGATCTTTTGAAGAAAAATATAATGAAAAACATAGATTTCAACATTGCATTTGCATTTTCTATTTCATGTAAAAAACTAGTTAAAAAGAAGTAAAAAGATACTTTATTGCCTTGCATTAAAGAGCAATCGGATTATAGCATCTAAAAATAATTTATGTAACAAATTGTTTTCTTCGAATAGCTCCATTTAGTTATTCGTTTTGTGCGCTGCCAATCAATTGTCTGTAAAGCATCGTCATTAATTTCCACCGCAATACTTATTGAGCAACTATCGTCGTTACATTCAAAAATTACAACATTTTTATTCAGAGACTACAACAATACAAAAGAAAAATGCATGTACTAATGAATTATTTTCTGATTGCGAACTGTATCAATAACATTGAGGAATCGGTATTTGACCCAAAATACGAAAAAGACAACTATCGAGTTTTTCGTAATACGCTTCGAGACCGGAACTAATCGGCCGAAAGCCGTCGTCTATTAAGAAAACTGCCTGCTATTTTATTCTATATCACTTTTTATGCGTCGCACTAGTTTAGATTCTATTTATTTTCTCGAGCGACTGTGAACTACATAAAGTTCAAGATCACTTTTGAGTAATTTTTCGAAAGTATATATATCAACAGTGTTTAAGAATCAAATAAGCAATATTTATAAAAAAATATAGATGCACTCATCTATTTATTGACGAATTACATACGTTAATTCGTTACGTATACGTTGAGACGACAAAACGTCAATTAATAAATAAATCAGTGCATGTATACCGTTGAAACTTGTTTTATTTAATGAGTGGTGTGCGTGAAATCTCATGAAACAAATAATATTAATTATTTGTCATTGGAATTAACTTGGGTTGATTTCCTTTAAATTATTAACTTTAAATTACAAATACTTCAAAATATAATAATTACAAAATTCAGGAGTACCTTCTTACCCCTCGTTTACACCAAGGTATAATACATGTAAATACCAGATTTTATACAATGTCTTAATTTTTATGTTCACGCTCATATACATGTATAAAACATGTAGTATGCAATACTTGCATCAAACTTTTTGGCTACACAAAATATGTGAAGTAAATAATGATTTATACTTGTAATGATACTCGTTGTCTATGAAGTGTAAACAAAAGTATGTCACTACACAACAAGGATTCTACAAGTTTTGTGTAAAACTAGTATATGACTTGTTTCTTGGTGTAAAAGAGGAAGGGCGGGAGGAGAAGAGATACATAGAAGTTAATGTAAACAGCTTATCTTCTGGAAGACTGGATTTGGTAATGCAGATTGGATATATATTTTATTGCAAAAATAAAACTTGATACCTGAACACTTTTGATGTGTTTATTGTAAAATTAATTGATATAAGCTTGCTATGTTATAATAGATGTGTATTTTTAAAATTACATGTAATTTGTCTGTAACAAACTTAATATCATTCTGATATTCATAAATAGTATCTTCAGTTATTTTTTTGTAAATAATGTTGTGCTTAATTATATCGTTACTTAGAATTTAAGTTGTTAATTTTTTTTTGTAGTTTTGTATGGTTATAAATTGTTAATGTTATGTTTAATTTCTAATATCAGGTATGTTATTTTTTCAAATTATCATTAGTTTTGTTTATAACAAAAAATATAATATTGCTATAATTACAAAAAAAAATTGCATTAATGCAAAATAACGAAGTATAAAAAACGAAAATCGTTAATAATAGTAAATACTTAATCGTTTTTATAACTTATTTATTCATCTAGTTGTTACTAGTATTATAATGTTATTGCATAAATTAAAACAAACGAAAATTTCTTTGTGTTTCATTTGTTTAGAATATATATTAATATTTTTTTGTGGATTCCCTAAAAATGTTTGCCTTAAATAGCAACACTATTATGATGAAATGATAGATTACGATGTATGTACCATTTTTCTAAAAAAAATTAATCAATCAGTTTAATGCGTGATCCCTCCATTATTAATTCAAAAAAGAGTCAGTATGTCTGTAACCTCAAAACTATTGAACAGATTTCGATAAAATTTGGTATAACTTTGGTATGTAAATTCAAATTAAAAAAAAATATTTAGTTTAGGCTATAACAAGCACATGTGGAAGTTGAAAACTACGCCATCGGTTCGCAAAACTATGGCGGGAGACCTTGTACTGAGAGGAACCGGCAAGAAACTCCGAAAGGGCTGCTTTTTTGGTAGTTAGTTTTAGTCCCAGAAATCCTTCATTAGGGGGGGGGGGGGCGTTATAAAGGGGGTGGAAGCTTGTATGAGAAACCACGCGGACGAAGCGTATAAGAAAAACTACAGTTTTGATACTCGATTGGTTATGTTTTATTTCAAAATCATTTCCCTAGACATGACACTTTTGATGTGTCTATTAGTAGTTAAGTAAACCACGCACGAGCCGTTAACCGCGGCGTATGGCGGTCGCGCATATGTTCATTTGTATAGGCATAATAAACTCGTGACATGCTTCTAGTCGTTAAAGCATGGAGTAACATGCTGGTGAAACAACTGACGATCTTTTATTTCCTTTTAAACAAGGATTATTATAGGTACGACAACTGACTGACATCCACTGCGGTCCGCGGCTCGTGCGTTGTGGCATTTAGGCAGTTAAAATGGCGGTTTACATGGTTCTGGTGGAGGTTTGCTGAGGTCATTCTTTTTGATATAAACGGCCGCTGTGTGATGAGGACGTCGCGGGAAGAAGACCCTGCGCCCTTTGTTGTCCACAAAGTCTGTGTAATCCATGGACCAGACCCGCTTCATGCCGCATTTCTCACAGATCTTCGCACTAAATGGTAAAATCGTATCAGCAATCATAAGAATACATTTTCCTTTGAATCTTTTATATCTTTTTAGAGAATCCCACAGGGACCTAACATTTTTCTGGGATAAAAAGTATCCTATGTCTCAATCTAGGTCATAAAGTATATATGCGTACTGAATTTTATCCAAATCCGTTGAGTAGTTTTTCCGTGGTAGAAAAACAAACATAAAACCTTTCACAATTATAATTTTAGTAAGATAGAAAATTTTACTAAAAAAAATCCTATCGGTTCATGTGTCATGTAGGATTCGAACTTTCACCTTCCACTGTCCGGGCGAATGCACTTACTGCTATCATACCAAAATCCTCAAATATCTTTTAGGATTCGCTAGCTAGCATTAGGCAAATAAGTTTTATCCGGGGATATAAACAATCAGTACGTATAATGGTCACGGGATGTCTCAGTTCCAAAGCTTGCTCCAGGGCCGCCTACAGCAGCAGTGTACCCACCCCCTGGCCCGTTACCTCTGCAGCCGTCTTCAGCACCTCGATCTACGTTTATTGCAATAGTTACGTGTATTGACTGACGGCCAGCACTTGCACCAGGGGATTTCACAGTTCCAGCGTTTGTTCTAGAATCGCCTTCAGCAGCATGGTGCCCAGCCCCTGGCCTGCCACCTACATTGCAGCAGACAGTACTTCAATCTACGTGTATACGTTTGTTGCAATAGTTACGTGTATTCACTGACGGCCAGCACCAGGGGATGTCGCAGTTCCAGCGAATGCTCTAGAATCGCCTTCAGCAGCATGATGCCCAGCCCTTGGCCTGCCACCTACATTGCAGCAGACAGTACTTCAATCTACGTGTATACGTTGATTGCAATGGTTACGTCTATTGACTAACGGCCAGCACCAAGGGATGTCGCAGTTCTAGCGAATGCTCTAGAATCGCCTTCAGCAGCATGATGCCCAGCCCCTTGCCTGCCAACTCCGCTATGGCCGTCAGTACTTCAATCTACGTTTATTCGTTTATTGCAATAGTTACGTGTATTGGCTGACAGCCAACACTTGCACCAGGGGATGTCGCAACTCCAGCGCTTGCTCCAGGGCCGTCTTCAACAGCAGGGTCCCCACCCCCTGGCCTGTCACCTCTGCTGCAGTCGCCAGCACTTCGATCTGCGTTTAAGTTAAACATACATGAATAACAATACCTAAATATTGGAAAGTTTCACAACTCTAATCTAGCCCCAAGCTGAGCATGGGTGCGAGAAAACGTATGTCGTAAAACTTTTATAGGATGCATGTCATGTAGCCGCTATCACAACAAATAATGACAATAAAAAGGATAAAATATAACGGTGTCTCCATTTTATTAAGAAAGTTTTGCTCAAACTAATTTTAAATATTGTATAAATCGCGACTCGAAACTGTAGCGTTGGCCGTTATTGCGCAGAAGTAAAAACTTAAATGTGTTGGGGGGAAACGAGGTGCGTGTGTGGGCGTGCGTTGCGCCGATCGGCTCTTCAGTCGTACCCATGCACAGCTATCCCTGACGCGTTTTGTTCAGCTCTAGAGTTACTTGCCGCAACCTGTACTATGCTACGGAGCAGTGGAACCTCTGCGAGTCCTATACTGTCTGAGCAGTTTTATTGTTGAACAATAAAAGTTAGTGTAAGTGAAGTCAAGATGTGATCAAAATAGCTGGTTAGTACCAGCAACAGGATAAAGATTTATAGAGGAGCTCGATGACGCAAGTGGTAAGCGCGTTCGGCTGCGATCGTTGAAGTTAAGCAACTTTCACAGTGGTCGGTCAATGGATGGGTGGCAAAAAATTTACTATCTCGAGCTCCTTCGTGCTTTGGAAGACACGTCAAGCCGTTGGTCCCGGCTGCATCTGCAGTCGTTAGCACGCACTAATCCGCACTGGGCCCGCGTGGTGGGTCATTGCCCAATCTCTCTCTTCCATCCAAAGGGAAGGCCTGTGCCCGGACATTAATAAGCTGGTGATGTAATGTGAATAGGATATAAAATGAAAAAAAAAATATAACATCATAGTTATAGGTAGCGAAAAACTTCTTGAGCCATAAAACCACAAACAAATAAACTTGCACAGTAGATGTTTTCGTATGTAAAATTGGTACCGCTCAGGGTTCCTTGTCCTATGGTCGTTGCTAAAGAAGTTTGCCAGGGTGTATACAAGAGTTTGCTTTAGAAATAGAAACCTAAATAAAAGGTGGAGCAATTTTGCTAATATTACAAAGTAGGAAAGATCCCGCCATTCTCAGAAATAAGTCACGCAAAAAATTCAATGCATTATAAATAAATAAAAATAAAATAAAATAAATATTTCCAACACTCACACCAATTAGCCTAGCCCCAAAGTAAGCATATAAGGCTTGTGTTATGGGATGCTAGGGTAACGGATAGAATACATATACTGTGCATATGTAAGTATAATTATATAGAAATAGATATTAAACATCCATGACTGGAGTACAAATGCTCGTATTCATCACACAAACATCTGCTCCCACCGGGATTCGAACCCAGGACCTCTCGAGTCGGCGACACCATGAAACCCGGCGTACAAACCACTCGGCCACGGAGGTCGTCAAATGTCTCTTTTGTATCGTATTTTTTTTCTACCCCTAAAATCAGTTTTCCGGATCAACTTTAATCAAACGATCTAATTTTACTACAAGTTAATTTCAAAAAAAATTTTTTGGGCTACTACTTTTCTAATTTTGACAAGAGTAAACTTATATTTAAGGAGCTAGATGGCGCAAATGGTTACCGCGTTCGACTGCGATCGTTGAAGTTAAGCAACTTTCGCAGTGGTCGGTCATTGGATTTGACCAAAAATTTACTATCTTGAGCCTCTCCGTGCTTCGGAAGGCACGTTAAGCCGTCAGTCCCGGCTGCATCCCCACTGGACCCCTCGTGGTGGGTCATGGCCCAATCTCCCTTTTCCATCCTCATCATGAAGCTAATATTATAAAAAAAATCGACTTATGATTAAATAGCGCTACTTTCGCAGCCGCATTTTAAGCGTGTCTATAAAACTAACCTCGTAAATGTAGTTGACGTCATATTTCTGGAAGAGGTTTGGACTTCTGTAGCAGTGAGCGATGAAGTACATCCTGTGACTCTCTGGGTACGAGCAAGTGCAGTGGGCCCAGTCTTCCAGCTCGTCAGCAACCCAAGGGAAGATCTTAAAGGTAAAATAAATAAGTAACAAGTTAACAGTTGTAGATGTTATGCAGCCGTGCTTGAAAATATCGATTCATCATACTGGGGCACAGGCCTTTCCTATGGATCCACGTGACGGCAGCCCCCCCTTGTAGTTCTGTCCTGCAAAGAGTGGGGCGGTGGAGGGAGCTACATGGGCACGCCCAAGTAGACCTCCGCAGCGGACGGGGGGCGGAAACACGGAAGAATCCCTAAACAGGGATCCCGCGGCTTCGCGCTAAGCAGCTTAGAGGGTATTCGCAGGGTTTTTTAGCGGATATTATGCCGTAAAGAGCCGGTAACGGTTACGGGGTCCTCAGTGGGCAGCCACTGCTGGGGCTCGGCTTGCGGAAGCCAGGTGTGAGGTGCCTCTTAAAGGCGCCGTCGTCTGTAAATAGTATTTTTTGCCTGCGTATAAAAAAAAGTCCTTTCCTATGGATGGAATAGGGAGTTTGGATATAAAAAAAATATAAATTAGCTTATAAGTTTCATGAAGGTTATTGATTTCATTCTTTTGCTATCACAACTTACCGGGAGTGCAAGCTCAAACTGATAGCATAGCTTAAGACCTTGGATTATGATGAAACTGAGAGCCTTCTAAATCTTACTTACTAGAAGCGAGAAAATAGCCGATAGTTAGTCGCTTCCTCGACGGCGGTGGGTCAGCTACCATATTTTCTTTAAAATTCATTTAACGTCTCCGACTGTGGCCGTAATTGTTTAGTAGCGGAATTGGTAGACGTAATCCTTCCCGATATTAATAATATAGAAATCCCAGAACCTAACGACAGCGCTACCTACCAGTGATCAGTTGGAGCATTGGCAGCTCAGTCATGGCCAAATATCTCTATCCCAGCCATAGGGAAGGCCTGTGCCCCAGCAGTGGGGACATTAATAGGCTGATGATAATGATGAATTTAACTTCTCTTATTTACCTTATTTGCCACGCTAACACCAATTAGTTTTCGTTCTCCAGTCCGTTTTATGTGCTCAAATGCTAAAAGTCTATCACCTGAAAAATTCAATTCCATCATCATTTTTCTTGTGCAGTCATTAAACTTATTTTCTGTCACTAGGAGCCAAATGTGAATTTAAACTCACCAGAATTAGAGTACTTATCGGTGAGTATGTCTAGGTACGGGCAATCGAGAGACATCCAGAGGCCGGACACGCTCGGCTCCCGCGGCCAGTACTGCGAGTACAGGAACGACCTGATAATCCTCGGGTGACACTTGTTGGCGTACTCAATGGACACCGATCGAATGTCGAAACACTAAACAAACAATTAAATAATAAGAAAGAAAACTTAAAAATAAAACAATAAAAAGGATAATATAGGTATTAGCGGGATTCTTACCACGTGTTGATACCATGATCACGGATCATGGAGCTTGCAACAGTGCCGAAATATCGAGACACAAAAAATAAGGTACATGGTAACAATCCCGCTAATAAACTTTAATATTAGTGTCCGCGAAGGTTTAAAACAATATGAAACATAGTTCCACAAGATAGGGTAAATTAGGATGGCAAGGAAAGCTCTGGTGTTGCAAAAAAAGTAGCTGAAACAGGTTGTATTATGGAAATCAGGAACAAAGAACACAGTCATAACAACTTATATAACACTAAATATTCTATGAGGAGCTCGATGACGTGGGTGGTTAGCGCGTTCGGCTGCGACCGTTGAAGTTAAGCAACTTTCGCAGTGGACGGCCATTGGATCGATGAGCAAAATCTTCTATCTCGAGTTCCTCCTTTCCTGCATCTGCAGTCGCCAATCCGCACTGGGCCCGCTTGGTGGGTCATGGCCCAAGCTCCCTATTCCATCCATAGGGAAGGCCTGTGCCCCAGCAGTGGGGACATTAGTAGGCTGATGTTGATGATGATGCAATATTTCTACATTCATACGATCAGCGATCAAACTTTGGAGCTTGGTTATAGAGGCATTATGAAAACCAGATTGAGAGCCTTTTGATCATGAAATACTTTTGCTCATTCTACTTACTTTCCTATATTTAACACACTCCCAAGACTGACAGAATAATTACTTGTTGGAAAAGATGAAAATCACTCACAGGGCGTTTTTCTGGAGGACTTAGTCGGGTGTGGCAAGGCGCAGCCGGTTTCCTATAGTTCTTGGCCTGGACTTTGAGAGGGGACTGACAAAGTCCCCCTCTCACCGCCCCTGATACTAACAAGTTTAGTCGATACATTGTAAATTTACGTCGAATTCATCTTTTATGCCGAATCCAAAGCACTATTTAATTTTTTTTCCATGTAGTATACTACAGAAATTTCGAAAATTTTACATGCCTAGAAGTTTTTGACAAGCGGATGTGTCTATTGTCAACGATACTAAAGAGAAGAGAGAAGAAAGTGTTTCATTCTGTTCCATTTTAATTGTTGTGATTGTGATGTGATTGATTGTTTCGATTCAGGATGAAACAATTTAACAATATTATATATTGCAATAATGGCGTTTATCTTAAACTTATGATTTCGATATAACATACTATAAAATATATTATCAACGGTGCCTAGGATAATTTTGGTTAATATCTTAAGTACGCTACGCCCAACTTATGCGAAAATATTTATTTTCGATCGCGCATTATTTAAAAATCTATTTATAAGAATTAAGGTTTAAAAAGTTAAACTTTGTTATTAGATCACAAGATAAAAACGAAGAAAAGGTTGAATATCGACGTAATAGCTTTGAAAACTTTTTCAAATCCAATTCGAAATTTAGACGAAAAAAAAATTTTACAATTCAGATCAGATCAGATCAGTCAAAGCAGCCGTCAATAAGTCACCACAATTATGTTGAATTTTTGAAACCTACAAAAGTAATTATTAAAACAATCCACAACAATGGCCAACTGGAAATGTAAATGATACAAGATTCAGAAACCTGAGAACAATTCGGACAGAGTCTGTACAATTATGTCAACAGTGCTGAATTTCTTGAGGCAGTTTTCGGCGAGGGGTGTGTTTTGGATGAGTGGAACGCCACGATGTCTCACAAGGCCTGTCAGAAGACAATATGCAGACACACCAAAGCCCGATTCCAGCACTAAACAAGTTGTGGTAAAATCTAGAGTACTATTAAGTTTTGCTGAAGTTTTTTACTATAACGTTCGTGCGTTTCCATCAATCCCCTATAAAAGACCAAATTGAACTTTTAATATTATGAATGCAAAAATTGTTTGTCTTTTACATCTTCACGCATAAACTAGTGAATCGATTATGCTGTGTTTCAAAAATGGATGCGATACAACTCCAGTCCGCACTGGGCTGGCGTGTGAAAAGATGAAGGCATGTATCCAAACAGAAAAGAACATTAACAGGTTGCTGATGACAATAACAATGTTATTTTTTCTGTAAAAGGATAGTGACGTTTTTCAGCCCATGCCTAATAATAATAGTGGCTGACTGGTTTGTACGCCGGGTTTCATGGTGTCGCCGACTTGAGAGGTCCCGGGTTTAAATCCCGGTGGGGGCAGATGTTTGTGTGATGGTCGTATTCAGAGCATTTGTACTCCAGTGGGTAACACACATGGGTGTTTAATATGTATATCTTTATAAATAACTTATATATGTATTCTATCCATTACCCTAGTATCCCATAATACAAGCCTTACAGTGCTTACTTTGGGGCTAGGCTAATTGGTATGAATGTTGGAAATATTTATTCATTTATTTTAATTTCGATAGGCTGTTGACAAAATTTTGAATAGTGCGTAGCTTAAATAGTTCAATAAATATATTAATTGTTTTTGACATTATTTATACTGCTTTTAGGCTCAGGGCACCGAAAATGAGCAGCTGGTGCGCGTGCGCAGGGCGCGTGCTAGTGACGTGCCTCGCGTGCTCCGCTTCGTGCGAGAGAACGTGCGAGTCGCGTTCCCCGCGCTCGGCGCCCCGTTTCCTAACCACATCATCATGCTTAACGACTATGTAGCCAGAGCTCTGTCTCAAGGTATGCAACTATATAGCGTTATATAGTGTCTATAAAGGAAAGTGGAGCTCGATGGCGCAGGTGGTTAGCGCGTTCGGCTGCGACAGTTGAAGTTAAGCAACTTTCGCAGTGGTCGGTCATTGGATGGGTGACCAAAAATCTATCTCGAGTTCCTCCGTGCTTTAGAAGGCACGTTAAGCCATTGATCCCGGTTGCATCTGCAGTTGTTAGCACCCGCCAATCCACACTGGGCCCGCGTGGTGGGTCATGGCCCAATCTCCCTATTCCATCCATAGGGAACGCCTGAGCCCCAGCAGTGGGGACATTATTAGGCTGATGATGATGAAAGGAACGTAAAAGACGACTATCATTAGTAGGTCCAGGGCACCTATAAAGATCAGCAGCTCTGTCACAAGGTATGGGACTTAAGCGTTATATGTATAACATGTACAAATGTATTTTTTTACGAAAATCGTTTCCTTGCAGGTCACTCGATGCTTGCCGAGCAACAGGAGACTCGTCGCGGCTGGCCCCAAATCCTGGGTCTCGCACTTAGCACCTCCATATGCCCGTGGGACGCCGCCCTGCTAGAGCGCTGGGCCCGTTGCGTCCGCTGCCCACGCTCTCGACACCTTATGAACTTCACCGCCCACTGCATCCGTGCACCCGCGCTCCACGACAAGTACAGGGTTCATAACATCCTTCAGGTGACTATGGTTCAACTGTTACCTATCGCAATACAAGAACCATCGTGGCTATCTCCATATCCTCGGCCTCGCGCTCAGCAACACAATTTGCCAATGGGACGCCGCCACTGTGGAATATTTCGGTGTGTTTCGGATTAAAAATCTGTAACACCGTCAATTTGAAAGATACTTATAAAATTTTGCTATAATATAAAGTGATACATAAGGATTCATATAAGTAATGTTTGATGAACTTTAATTATGCGTATTTTTTTAATTAAAAAAGAAAAGTCACAAAATGATTTAAAATAGTATTATTTATTTATTGAAATATTTTTTAGAAACATATTGTACGTCTATTTCTTAATGCTAATTACTCTATTAAGATAACTAACATATTATATTGATAATATAAAATTAAAAATGATAAAATATTTTTAACACTACGCTAACATACAGAAACAAATCAAAATTATCGCAATATATATTTCTTTTTTTTTTGCTCGGCAAGATTGACATCTTACACCCGGTGAGCTTCAGGATCTGAAATAAGTTCATTAACCTTGAGAAGGTGTAAAGTATCTTCATCGAGCTCCTTTACATTTTTTGCATATGGTTTTCTTATGCTCGTTATATATGGATCTGAAGTGTAAAGTAGTGTATTAAACACATCTTCGTTTGTAGCTATTCGAGGGCATTTCCGAGCATGGTGTAAGCGAAATTTTTTATTGTCCTTACTGCGAGATTCTTGAGCACCTTCTGAAAGTTGCCCAATTGGTAATACCGCGAAATGGTTTATGATACTCTCTCCGTCACCTGCTTCACTCCAGCGTTTATTAAACGAAGGGACGACATCCCTTTGAATATTCAAAGGCCATATGGTCAATAATATAATATATTGACATCCGAAATTTGTTTTCCCTCCAAATATGTTGAAAGTGCCGCAGTCGTTATTCCGCCTTCTTTATAAGACACTATTAACTCACGTTTAGTACAGTTAAAAGTAGACATGTTGAATAATGAAATAACCGTACCTACTAGAGTACTTAGACGTAAAGACCACTGAAACGGTAATGGAGACATATTTTTTCACTGCCCTTTTTATATTGTTTCAGAATGTGGGAATTATTTCAGATATCTATTTTCTCACGGAAAATGACATCGAAATGATAAAACCTACATAACAATATCAAATAATTAATTCATAAAATGTACCACAAACTATTGATAATAAAAGTAAACTACGAAACCGCATTTGATAGCGATTTCCGTTCCCAGACTAGTATTCGATTTTTTCACATATCTCCGAAAACCGCAAAAAGCCGCAGCTAATTTTTTTTATGTTTTAGATGAGTAACTAATCTATAATTTAACATTAAATTCAAAGCATCGGTAAACAACTCTAAATGTTAAAAGATTCGACGAAGTTGAGGAAAAAAGAATATTTCTCCATTTTTTCTTTAAATTGGTTTTTAAATTTATATTCGTATTAAAAACAATCAATTGTATTTATTTCTAACCTCTGATAAATGTGCTTTTCAAAAATATATAATACCTTATACCTTTCATTTCAAGTTTTAAAACTATTTCACGTTGAAAAACGTAAATGAAGAACTTAATATTTCCCAGCTGCCTAAACGTTTAACTTTGCTACATGAAAAAAAATACTTTTACGAAATCAAATATGAATTACGCTGCAGAATATTAAACTTCGACTTTTGAACTATTAAATTATATTCATATATTACCCAATTTCAATCAGTAATAAAAATCAATTTCGATATGCGTTTGTTCTACCATATTCCACCGTGCGCCGCCCTGCTGCAGCGCTGGCCATGAGCGATGGGCACCCGACAGGAGAAACTTTTCGACTGGCTCCAAATCCTCATGGGATGTATATGCCCGTATGACACCATCCTGCTGCAGCGCTGAGCTCGCTACTGACACAGTTTCACATAATAATATTATTCAGTTTTTAGGCTGCTTTTTTGTCCGCCTATGCACGTGAGACCTCGAAATATTCTTGAGGCGAAATCGTCAATGTATATTTTCTTTATTAAAAATTAATTATCAAACTCGGCAGCTTTATTGACTACAAATAAATATATCGAGATTTAATATTTATGTCTCCGTTTCATGCCTTTATTCGATATTCTAACAATCACAAAAGGTACGAGTACCAAGTCTCCAGCTATGATTGGAATTCTCAAGACTATTTGGCACTATCTCATACATAATATTGTATGTAATAGTATCGAAATCTTAAAAATTAATAAAAAAATACTTCACGAGGTTCCATATAATAAACCCTAATATTTTCCTCTGCAGGTGTTACTAATTGTGCCTCAAGATAAACCAAAAAGATCGGAAATAATTCAAGCCCTCGCAAAAAATTCAATACAAAGGGGGAAGGATGTCGGAATCCCACTTATTCGGTTCGATGTCACTAACGAATTTACGTAAGTATTTGAACTTTTTAAATGTTACATTTAACACTTTGCCAGCGGATCACGAATAAGATACGGGCGCCCGCCCGGTTTTAATCTCACTCGCGCGTCTCGTTTAGGATACGTGATGCATTTTCTTACTTACTGTTCATAAATCTCGTATGCTATCCGAGATCCGCGAACGAAATAAGATTCTTGTTGATATTACACAAACATTGGAACAAAATTCAGCTATGTAAGTTCATTCGTCTACGAGAGCCAATCGATTGAATGCGCGCGGCGGCCAGTACGCAGCTAAAATACTTGAGAGAGCACGTCGAAACGTCGATGTCGCATTTATTATTATTAACATTATTCTTTATTCCATGCTTCAAATTATATCATATATGAAAAAAGTATACACCATTTAAAATCCATAGAACTTATCTATAGAGATAATAGACGACCTCCGTGGCCGAATAATTTGTACGCCGGGTTTCATGGTGTAGCCGACTCGAGAAGTCCCAGTTCGAATCCCGGTGGGGGCAGATGTTTGTGTGATGATTACGAGCATTTGTACTCCAGTCATGGATGTTTAATATGTATTTCTATGTAAATATACTTATATAAGTATACAGAATACATAATTAGACTGTACATATATATGTACTTTACATATATATGTACAGTATATGTATTCTGTCCGTTACCCTAGCATCCCATAACACGAGCCTTACAGTGCTTACTTTGGCGCTAGGCTAATTGGTGTGAGTGTTGGAAATATTTATTTATGTATTATTTATTTATGTAAGAGTTTTTTTTTAATGAAAAACGTACAATATTCACAAATGAATAAATGAAAGTAATATGTGTAATGAAATATGCCAAACTCGGCCCGCAAACAGCGGGTTTAATTGCTTCGCTGGGAAATGTTATATTTCATTTTTAATTTTTTTATATACAAAATATAATAAAGTAATAACATAATAAAAAAATCAAATAGATACCTATTATAGTTTACATTCTATGACCATTTGAAATATGTCAAATTCGGCCCGCATACAGCGGGTTTAATTGCTTCACTGGGAAATGCCATACATAACTTGCATACCAGTATTTTGTTCACCAATATCATTATCAGTCTATGCCCCCAATACTGGGGCATCTGTACTTTCCCAAGTACAGGTGCCCCAGCAGTGGGGAGATAGACTATATCTATCACTATGAACGGAATAGAGATATTGATCCATTAGTGGGTGCTAATGACTTAAGATGATGTAGGTACCAATGGCTTGTTGTGTGTCGAATTACGGAGGAGCTCGAGATAATTAATTATAATAATTAACTATGATCACCCATCCACTGCGAAAGTTGTTTAGGTGAATCACAAACCGAACGCGTAAGCGCGTACGCACATGCACCATAGAGCTCCTCAGAGAGTTTTGTTCAAATCACCCAAAACTAAATTTTGAGTGATTGTTATTCGATTACTAGAGACAAAACACTACATAAATCCATTCATTTAGTCCCGAACCAAGCAAAACTAACAAAGCCTAGCGAATTACTTTACTTCGCCTGATGTTATACTGGTGTGAAAGTTTGGAGGGCTTCGTTCGTTTAATGTTTTCAATTAATGATTGCACTTGTTAACGCATTTGATGCATTCATTAATATTATCATGTTTGCTTGTCATCACAAACTGAACGCATTATACCTACCATAAATTCTCGTAACCTGAGATGTTCTGAAGCCTCGATGGTGTGGCACTGATTTGCTTCATACAAACTCCTTGGTGCGGATGAAGCTTACATGAAATCTGTTTTTGTTTAAAATTTATTTATCCAGACGTGGCTTATTAAACAAGGAAATCTTTTTTTTTCGTCCAGTTCAAAATCTTTAGAAGGACTGAATTTGAAGAAAGAATGGCACCTCTCTTACGAAATCTTGCCGAATGCGATGAAAGACAAAGATAGCTCCGCCAGCACCTCTGTCGGCTACCAGCCACAGAAATCCAAGACGGACAGAAGCCAACCAGCCAGTGGAAACTTCATCACAGTGTATACAGCTCTCTCTAATCATTCGAAACCGACAGAAACAAGGAAGACAGCCTAAACATTTCATCCAAATAATTTGATGACTTAATGACGGCTGCTAATAAAAACATAGAATATTTTATCTGGTTGTTTTAAATATCATCATCATCAGCCTATTAATGTCCCCACTGCTGGGGCACATGCCTTTCCTATGGGTGGAATAGGGAGATTGGGCCCTGACCCACCACGCGGGCCCAGTGCGGATTGTCGTTATCACCCCCTTACGACTGCAGATGCAGCCGGGACCAATGGCTTAACGTGCCTTCCGAAGCACGGAGGAATTCGAGATAGAAGATTTTTAGTCACCTATCCAATGACCGACCACTGCGAAAATTGCTTAATTCAACTGTCGCAGCCGAACGCGCTAACCACCTGCGCCATCGAGCTCCAGTTTTAAATAAACTTAAACTTATTACTAGCCCACGGCTTCATCTGCGTGGTTTAACTGATTTCCGTACAAATTTCCAACCCCTTTTCACCAATAGCCCAAGAGACAGATATCGCGGTTATATGCGAGCGTAATGCAAAATTTCCCATTTTTTTTTTACAAATGTTAGGGTAGGTCATAAGAAGCTTAAGTTTAAAAATCGAGGAATGTAGGGTAGTCACTATTGGCCGCCATATTGGAAAACGTATTGGAAGATGTAGGGAATATATTAACAAATAACTTTTTTAAGACATTGGTTGGGCGTTTTATTATGTATGAGTTTTCTTACATCAACAATGTTCGCATTTGGGTTTCAGATTTGCAATATGCTCGCTGACGCCACCTAGTGTTCGATCTGCGAATATGTCCAGATGGCAGATATGTGGGTACTGTGAATATTGTTATACGCGGGTACTCAAATTTAATAACGTTCGTTGGGTCGTCTTTTCCAATGGCCTCTCTCTGCTGTTTCCCTTTGGTACCGATCGGGCGTGTACACATATTATATAAATATGCAACCGCAGCCAAAGGAAGAAGGAAAGAGCTGCTTATGCTGTGCCCACGCTTGCAAGCCCGCTAAGGAGACAGAGAGACATCCAGGCGAGTCGTTGGTGGCATTGCGCCTAATTTGATTTCCACTTGTTGCATTGTTGATGTTTCTTTGTTGATGTTTGTTTAACCAGCTCGTACGTAATAATTCGCCCGCCGCATATACAGGGTGTCCCGTAAGTAACGGTCCAACCGTAAACCCTAGGTAGTTCACTTGATTGCCTACAACTAATTTGAACCGTTTTTTGAAATTCATTAGGGTTGCCAAAAAAAATGATAAAATGTTTTTTTTTTCAATATTTCTGTCTTGAATTGGTTTTTTTAATGGCATTGACGCAAATATTAAAAATTTTCAAATTTTTTTTCGCTAAAATGTAGCTAGATAGATTGACTATCAACTCGTTTATCACATTTGCATAATGACATTGTATTTCTCTCAAAAATATAGAAGTAACTTAACATTTTATTGTATTTTATTTGGATGACCTAAATTGAAAAGCTCCTAATGTAAAAAAAAAGTATGACACCAAAGTGTTCCATTATTTTAAAAACATGTGCATTAAGTAAGGTTTCAAAATTGGTATAAAACTTATGGTTAACTAGTAAAGTTGCAAACATAATACAATGAATCCGAAGAAGAGGCAAATATCTTAAAAAATATAATTAAATTTAATTAGTGTCTAGTTGTGCATTTTTTCATTATTAGGAATGTTTTAACGACACTACGCGCACAGTACACAAGATTAGTACTTTGATCATACTAGCCCTCGAATCGACGCACGCACACAGACAAATAATGTCATTTACACGGCCGCTAACCAATCTTGGCAAGACAAATCTACGCAGTGCCACGTCGCGCGCCGCCGAGACTGGTGTGAATTTGGACTTTACGAATTACCTATCGAATTTGGACTATTTGTTTTTTATAGAGTTAACGACTTGGCGAGTCTATTGGACTCCGAAAATCTGTTTGTTTGGGGTTGTTGAATCTCTGAACTTTGCAATGCCTCGCAACGTGTACACACCTCGTGAATATGCTATGATGCATTACACCTATGGAGAAGCAAGAGGTAATGCCAGAGAAGCTGCAAGATTGTACCGAGAAAGGTACCCGAATTTGCGTCACCCTGACCACCAAATTTTTGCTTAGAGTGCATAACTCGCTACTTGATGGAAGGATTCTTGGTACTGGACTTGGTGTCGGTGAAGGAAGACCACAGCAAGTCAATGACGAAATAATTTTGCAACAAGTACAAGAAGATGCATCAACGTCAGTTCGAACTATAGCACGACGTTCTGGAATACCTAGAGCATCGGTGCACAGGGTTTTAAAAAGATACCGTTTGCACCCGTACCATCTACAACGTGTACAAGGAGGAGCAGAATGTGCATAGCTGTAGGCGGAAGGCAATTTGAGCATTTATTATAAAATTATAACGGTTTTTTGCTTTTATTTCTAAAGACCTTATTTTACCCGTCGTTTACACAAATAAGTGCCATAAAAGCTAATATCAGTATAATCATCATGTTGATTAACGTAAAGACATTCCTAATAATGTGAAATAACACAACTAAATACTAATTTAATTAATTTAGTTTTTTTTAGATATTCGCCTCTTCTTCGGATTCATTGTATTATGTTTGCAACTTTACTAGTTAACCATAAGTTTTATACCAATTTTGAAACCTTACTTAATGCACATGTTTTTAAAATAATGGAACACTTTGGTGTCATACTTTTTTTTACATTAGGAGCTTTTCAATTTAGGTCATCCAAATAAAATGCAATAAAATGTTAAGTTACTTCAATATTTTTGAGAGAAATACAATGTCGTTATGCAAATGTGATAAACAAGTTGATAGGCAATCTATCTAGCTACATATTAGTGAAAAAAAGTTTGAAAATTTTTAATATTTGCATCAATGCTATTAAAAAAACCAATTCAAGACAGAAATATTGAAAAAAAAAAACCTTTTATCATTTTTTTTGGCAACCCTAATGAATTTCAAAAAACGGTTCAAATTAGTTGTAGGCAATTGAGTGAACTACCTAGGGTTTACGGTTGGACCATTACTTACGGGACACCCTGTATATTGTCATACCCGCATCCAGCGGATGGCTATGGACACGCCATACCAGACATTTTTTTATCAATTAATGCAATTTTTAAGGTTTTGTAAAGGAAAAACTACAAACATGTTCAATTTAACAATAATAATTGAAAAATGGTTAGAGTTACCATAAAAAGATTTTGACAAAAAAGTTAGGAAATTGAGTAATAAACGAAAAAGTACCCTACATTTTTTTCGTCAAGTCTGTAATTTCGATAAACGCGTTTTCCAATATTCCGGCCACTTGTGACCACCCTACATTCCCCGACTCTTAAACCTAAGCTTCTCACGACCTACCCTAACGCCTGTAAAAAGCTAGCTATTTTGCTATTTGACTTAACTCTATTGCTTGGGTTACAAGGGCGTATTTTGAAAACTGGCACCCCGGGACAATTACTTTTGTAATTGCACCCGTACACCATGGATTCACACCCCTGAATTAGTGAATCAAATCAAATGTAGGTAACTAATGAGCCTCCATGCAGTTTCTGCCGCCATTAGCTGCTCTTGCAGCTGCCCCTCCCAACCAAACCCCTGTTTCCAGTAGTCTTATTAAGTAGTCTTACCAGTTGAACTACTGGGAATTTCCTTCCCTAATAGACTTACTAGTAATACCAATGGGAACTTTGTAACCAGTAGAATTAACAGTAAAATAAAACTCGCGATAGTCCTACTCTTATAAATAAAAGTAATTAACTAACCTAGGTAATTGATAGACAACCTAGAAAGTGAACTTGAATATATGACCCAATATTGTCACATCATTATCAAAATACTTGTACATAATTATTTTGTCGTTGCAATATTGTTTTTACTTCTTGAATCACTTAAAACATCTAATTAAGTACTTATCTCTCTTGTTGGTTGTTTTTTTTCTCTTAGACTTAATAAAGATATAAAGTATGTTAGTCAATTACGAGTTCTATGTTTATAATTTTTTATAAATTAACTAATGGGGGAACAATTACACCTGCGAAGTCCTACTATCGGTAAATCTATTGAGAAGGAAATTCCCAGTAGTTCAACTGGTAAGACTACTCGGTAAGCAAGAGAAACCAACCTGCCGCCTCGGGCCATGGCTGTCTTGGCCCTAGGTAAATACGTCCCTACTTTTCCCACTCCCTACCCGTAAAATATGAAGCAGACCTAGAGACCACGGTCAGCGTCGCGCGTCTTTGAGCGTGTCGTGTATACTCTGGCACTTCCTGCGCTCCGCCGGCTTATGTCGCAATTATATTTGGTCGTTAGCCCGTATTCGAGTGCACGAATGACATTGACATGTGCGGATCCAGATTCACTTGGGCGCCCCTACTATTATGGAAGCACAAATCTGGATATTAGTGTGGTTAGTTGGTTATTACGGGTGCTGCCAGCGGAGATGAGTCTACTCCAACTTCCTTGATATTGAAGATGTTAATGTTTAATTACACCTAATATAAATAACACTAGTTGTTTTAATCCATACGATACAGCAATCAAAATGCAGGTGAACAATCAATGTATATTTTACAGTATGTAATGAAAGGTGATTCCATTAATCATCTCCGAAGTCATTTTTCAACTTTGGTCGTCAAATAATAAAACAGTCGTCGTGAGTGTAAATAATAAAACAGGGAGAAAAATAACCGCCCTTGCTGAGTTTCTTGCCAGTTCTTCTCAGTACAAGGTCTCCCGCCGTAGATTTACGAACCGATGGCGTAGCTTCTAGACATTCATGAGTACTTGTAATAGCCTAAACTGAATTAATGATTATAATTATGATTATTAGAAAAAATTACAAGTCACAAAAGGAATATCCTATGTTCCAGTTGATATTTAGCTGATTCAATTAGGTGCCTGCTATCAACAGTGTTGTTACAACAATCAACGTCAAAACGGACCTCCATTCAACAAGAAAAAAAAAATACAGCAGAATTGTTTCTTTCATACTATTAAACACATTCGTTATTTTTTAATGCTAGCTAGAAATTTTGTGCTCTTCTCTCCCACATTGTTAAAAAAACACTCTTTTCGCCTAGTGAAGGCATCAAGTGCCGCGACTTTAATTTACCAAGTAGATAATAAACTAAATAAGTTAAATCACTTTGTGGGTTCCTGTACTGGTACATGGGATGCGTACGCAGCTCTTCCCGACAAATATGAAAGTTGAAGGGTAACTCGGCGAAGGCTGAAACACTACGAGCGTCACGAGCGATACGGATCACTGACCACGACCAATATTCTTGCACCTGACTATGTTTTTTATGGCAGACCTTTTGCTTTTTGATTTCAACGCTTATCTGCTATACTTATTTTGAATTAGTATCATTTCATGGTGTATTGGCCACAGATTATTTTCATCATGTCATAGGTATTGGGATTTCGTTCAAACTGGTGCCCTCCAAAACGAGTAGCTTTCTATTGCCACACTCGAATCTTGTTAGACAGTTTCGACATCAGCCCTGTTTCTTAACTTCATTGTTTTTGTGGGCATCTTTGTGAACGAGTCGCTCGATTGGTGGTGACTGGCCACGCGTTTTTTGTCCCATTACTGCTATTAACAGATTAAGAAACAAATTACTCACAAGTCATCTTAATGTTAAAGATTCAAACAATCTCGGCATTGGCATTTGTTCCAACGTATTTGTGACAAGTGGAAACGTTGAACGTTCTTTAGTATCTTAGTCCAACATCGTAAAAATATATATTATTTAAGAAATAGTTTTTGGCTCTGTTCTTGATAAATTTTGTTTAATTTATTTTAGGTTTATAAAAAAAAAATTGGGTCAGCTCGGTAACGATCGGCAACAATTTCCTTAAATCGAAAAATGAAATGCAACGATCTATTGATTGAACGCAAAGGATTTGTAGGGTCAATGGAGTCGACAGACATTGGGAAAGACTATTAAATCGCTGCAACACCGAGTTATATAAAATACAAGCAATGAATTACTCTGTAGAGCAGACACAGAAGGCTTTGGAGCTGATCGTTTTTGCTTATCAGAAGGTGAATACAAAGTTAGGCCACCTATTACGGAACTATTCTGATTTTCGCAAATTCCAATTAGAAGTGACGTACTTACTTAAATGTTGTGTGAGAGTTGCCAATTTTTGTCACGGTGTTGATTTATAGTGCACTCTAGCATTCATTGTGAACGGATGTGATATCAATTTGTCTTTACAAAGTGTTACAACAATACCGCGTCTACGATTTCGGATCAGTCAGGAGATCAAAAACTTAACGTTATCATTAATATTGATTTCACAATTATGTTGTTTTACAGAAGTTACCCGTATTATCACTATGGCACTGAGGTTAGTGCCCCTGGCGCTAGGTGTGCTCCACATCGCAGCTGCCTTACCGGCGATCACGCTGCAAGATCTGGAAGTGGCTGACGACACCATGTCTGTTGGTTCTTATGTCCGAGAAGTTAGGGCTGCTGCGGTAAGCTTTAAGTTTTTATACTAAAAGACACAAAACTGGCGGCAAACTTTTGTTTTATATTGCCTGATATAGATTCCTGAAGATTCTCTCAACTTAAAACCAAAATTTGAAAATAGTCTTTCTTTTGTTTTATATTGTCACTGATTCTGATATAGATTCCTGAAGATTCTCTCAACTTAAAACCAAAATTTGAAAATAGTCTATCATTTTCTTGTAAAATAGAAGATGATAAAGATGTACGAGTAATGTTGTCAAATTTACATTAAGAATGAGAGGCTCTTGCCAAAATCAAACCCTTTAGCAATTTTTACAAATAAATAAAAAAAAGCTGTTCGGAGTTAATGCCATCTTTTAAATAAAAGTTGAGTGTTTAAAATATCTAATCAGATCAGAACTACCTTCACAAGTACCTAAAATTTACTTTAAAAGAAATATTTTTTCACAACATAGCCCCAGGACTACCACAAATCCTACGAAAATGAAGGCGATGGCGAGGTCGGATACTCCAGGAAGAAGTCTGGTGGAGGCAAGAAGGGCTACCAGCACTTCGACACCTTCCACAAGAAGGCCGGAGACCACTACGAGTTCGAGAAGCAAGATTCCTACGGTCTAGAGAAGGAGGGACAAGACGCAGCCCACAGCCACCGCCACGAACAAAGAGGTGAACAAAAGTCAGCAAAAATCATTAAACCCTTCAAATTCCTTAGGAAACCCTTCAAATTTGTGCGGAGATTGTTCAAATGGATATTCTAAGAGAGTCTGGCCAATAAATTTTGTTTCCTGAATCAAAATAAATTTTATTTGAAGAATTCCCAGATTTTCAAAATGTTCTCTTGTGAATCATTATTGTGTTAATAGCCTTACTCATAGATTTTATGTTTCTTACAGCAAAGCCAAAGAGGAAGCCTGAAGATGCAGAGAAATTAGACGATGATGAGGGACACGTGGAAATTGACCATGAAGAATTAAAGTAAGTAGTACCTACTTACCTAATTAGGATCCGATTTGCGACAATGAGCCTGTTAAAAAAATTACATAGTAAAACGTGCTATCCGAGTAATCTAGTTAAGCTTGACCTTACCGGCCTAAATTCAAACTCTCTTACAACGTTAAGCTAAATAACTCATTATTATAAGTAGGTATGTAACCACCAACCCGTCGCGTCGCCCCGGGACATGGCCCTTGGCCCTAGGGTAAAATACGCCCCTGAGCACAGCAATTTTTTGGTTGCATATTTTTTTAAGGTACCTACCAAATTCTGAGCACTGGTTTAGCTAGGGATTTTTCCTAGGGCTGCAGCCATCCAGTATTAATTCTGAATTTCCTTTTTTTTAACTGTAGCAGACTGTGCCCACCCTATAATTCGACATCGCCCACCCCTAGTACTACGCTCATGTATGAAGGTACCTAGGTACTCGCGACACGGCCTGAGTATCTAATTAGCGGTGCACCATCTCTATTAGGACCTAAAAAATAAAATAAATGCCTAGTTTTACGCCATTTAACAAAAATTTTTTTATTTATTTTTTACAGAGAGGGTGCTCCTGATGGTAATGGAGGCATAGAAGCATTCGGGCACAACCCGAAAGACTACATTTTGCCTGAAAAGTATACGTATGGGGAAGATGAAGAAGAAAACTAATATGATTACGCCAAGCATGATAAATAAACAGACTGATAGACTATAGTTGTTTGGTTAAGAATTTAATAAAGAGTGGATAATTTTGTTAGCGACTTTATTTGTCTACAAAAACTGCACTGTTTTATAAATGAAGATCGAGCGCCATCTATGATAAAGGAGTTGAATTAAACTGTGTCTAAATAAAAAAATGGTTTTATTTAATTTATCATTTTATAATTTTAACGGCATTACCAAATCATATTAAATAAAGACAGATTATGCTATATTAATACGATAATTTGCTTGAAAATGTAAATTCTTTTTGATAATGTGTACACCGTAAAATGGATCGCGATGATACGTTTAGATAAACAAAACAACATATTAAAAATGAAAAAAAAGCAACTATTCCAGCGTATTTCACATAGACTTAAATATCCAAGATATTTTAATGAAAATAGATTTATTTTCATTGGATTGGATTAGAATGCAGGTAACGATAAATATCACCGAAGAACTAAACGCTTTAGCTATGACATATCTATGATGTGATGACATTTTGTATTTCAATGACATGACAGTTGTTTTGCTGTACTACCTGCTAGCTAGCCAAAAGCTCATTGTTCATCGAAAAATCGTGTTAAAACAACAATTATCACAATATTTTGTGATGTAAATATTAAAAATAGCCGCATAGAACAACCATGGGCATAAAAAGTATGGATATCGCCTTTTTATTGTTGAACCTCATATACTGCGCTTATTCCGGTAAGTAGACGACAATTATTTAATTGAATCAATCTGTTCGGGCATGTGTTACTTCGAGAACTTTATTCTTTTTAACAGAGCACATCCTGTCCTGCAATGTGACCACTCTGAACCCATGTCCAGGGGCAAATCAGGTATGCAATCAGCTGACGCATCAATGTGTATGCAAAGACGGTTTCACGCTTGTGGATGATAACTGTGAGAGTCCCAGCGCTGATACTTCCTCGAGACACACGGTGACTGGTATAGTGGTCTCAATTTTCACAATAGCACTTCTAGTTTGTGGAATCGTTTTAGTATTTAGAAAGTATGACCTAGCCAACTACATCAGACAGAAGATCAACATGAGAAGGAATAATTCTACAACTTATGAAGATGTTATGATCGGTCAAGACGACCCCCCATTGAGTCCTTGAGAATGCCTTATATCTGCAGATGGAAGTTATGGAAGTATCTCACTGTAAGAGGTAGCAAGTTCTTTTTTGTTATTATGTCAAAATAGTTGGAGAACTTTCCATTACAATTCACTGCTTGAAAGATTTGCCTGCTTGTATCTTTTTCTGTGAATGTTTGTAAGCATCGAAAGCTATAAGTACAGTATTGAAGAGACTCGACAAATGCACAAAATAGTTTATTGTATAAGTCAACTCTAGCACTGCGCTGATTGGCTGTCCATTTAGTTCAGCGCTAAAGTTATGTGCTGCAACCTGTAGTAATAATAATCATTAAGTACAGCAAGAATTTTATTGTTCTTTACAACATAATTCTTTCTTTGTTATGTTTGATAAATTATACAATGACTTACTGTTAGTGGAGCACACAAGGCATTTATTATTAATCATGCTTGTATTATTAAAAGGATTCTTTTGCTTCTGTTTGTTTGTTATCATACTCATAGTAAGGGGAATATGACATTATGACTTCTCAATGTAGGTATTCTCAGTATTCAACTATTAATGTTTTCATTTTAAAAAATTTAGAGAATTATAATTGGCTAAATGCTTTGAATTATATAGTAAAATATAGATAGATTTCTTATAAGAATTCCAACTGTTGTGATTTTAAGTTCTGTGAAGTAATTTATACAATTATATAGTAACATAACATTTTGTATATTATTTAGCTTCTAAGATTCCACTGAACAATATCTTTTTCCTTGTATTAATTTAAAATGTAAAGATAAGCTGACAGTAACAAATAACTGTAATAAAACAATAATGTAAGCAAATGATCTGCAAACCTTGCCTAGGTTGGTAATTAAAGAAAGATCAGGCAATGCCAGATTTAAGTACATTGATTTAGTTATTTATTTATAGACTTAACACCACCATAATCTGTTTCTACATTGGCGAAATTTCTGCGTAAATCAGAGAAAGCCACAGACACAAAAAAAAGCTCAATCCCTTTATTTTTGTTAATTTACCAGTTTAACTTTTGTTGTGACCGTATCTCATACTGTAGCTACCAATGTGGTAGCTACAATATGGATTTTTGAATTATTTTTCTGTATCACATTAATGCTCAAGTTGGCCAAAGACTAATTATGATTATTTGTATACAGTTCTTCTGTTCTGTATATTTGAATTGTAAGTCTAATTTTAAAGTGGTTACCTTCTAGAAACATGATTTAAAACAGTAATCCTAACATTGTCCAATATTATTTAGAACCTTTAAGGGATATGACAGTTGTCTCACGCTGTACATGTTAAACTGTTAAATTATTTTTTAATGTTTCAGAAGCTAATTGGATATTCCATTACATATTAAATAGTAAATATCAATCCCAGCATTAGAATATAAACACCATCCTTGGTTAAAATAATGATATTTTATCAATTAAAATTACCAATCTGCAAAAGAAATTTAATTTTGTTGACTTCTAAACATGTAAAACTCGCAACATTAATAACAATGGTAATAATTGTCCATATTTATTATTGTTTTGTGTTTATTATATTTAATCATAATGCAGACAATATAAATATGTTTATAATATTTTTTTGCCTTTTATCATAAATATTGATAACCAGAGACCTTAGTTTAGGTATGTAATATAATTATTTTTATTATTATAATTAAAAAAAAATTGGGCAACAGTTTTCACAGATTTCACTTGCTTATAGATTTAAATGTTCCTAAATAAGGTCTGTTAATTTATTTTTACTTATTTAAATTTGGCTTTTGCATGGTTTAGGTTTAAGTGCAGTTAAACTATTTTTATAACATGTCATTGTCATTTTGCTATCAATATTGTAACATGTTTAAAACGTCACATGAATTTTGTTTGTTTGAAGAGAGAGATAGGCCTCTGTTTATTTTGTTTAACTGTTTTTATTTACCATAGATCGTTTCGCTAGTCCATGCTTTTTTTTATTTTCTAGAAGCCTTGTTAAGCTGCGGAGAATAAAAAAAAACTCATGGACTAGTGAAAACAATCTATGGTAAACGAAAACAGTGAAACAACCTAATCAGAGGCCTTCTATCCTTCTCTTCAAACAAACAAAACTCATGTGACGTTTTTAACATGTTACAATATCCTCCAAGTATATTTTTTTAGTTTCAAGTTATGTTTTTAATACAGGAATATTAAAATTGTAGATATTATTAGGTAAATTGATAAGATTATATATACAAATATCTTTAAGAGTTACAACCAACACTAATGATATAACTTCATAAGTACAATGAATATATTATAAAGACTGTATTTGATATGTTGACTATGATGCCTTTTTATTGGTACAGTCAAAACCATGACTATCTACTTTACACATAATTTACGAATATCGCTCTTAGTTCTTTGTATTAAAAGCCTATTTTCATTCAAGCAATATGACAACTGCGTTCCAGAACACTGTTAAGTTCCTTTGGTTTGTTTGCATATCATCTGATAGTGAGTCCTCTATAGATATTATGAATATGGCCTTGTTAAAGTTAGACCTTTTTGTTTACCAGAGATATTATGCACAATATACTCAAAACTATTTCTGCCTTATTAATTTTTGATTGGTCATATAGGGAAAAGAATGCAGACCAGCAAAGCAAAGGTGGGACATTATGAACATCTGTCGCAAAAACTACCTTTATTTCTGACCTCTATACAATTGACTTCAGATGGGATGAGGTACGAGTATTTGCTAGGATCGTTTGCAAGAATGTTTGTTCCATTTCTTTATGTGTTCGTACGTGGGCGTTTTGAGTTTTTAAGTGAAACTTCTTTTTGGTGTAAATGGAAAAAAAACCTATGGAAAAGATGAAACGGAAATTGATCTCGAGCGTCACACTACTATATATATATGTGTGTGGGATGCGTGATCAGCTCTTTCCGACGAGCATGAAATTGGAGGGTAACTCGGCGAAGGCTGACACGCTACTAGCGTCACACGTGAATATACATTATATGAGTGATGCGTGCGCTGCTCCATTCCCCTATGTCTTATGCAGCGCCTACTGTTAGGTTATTTAAGAAAAGAAGTTTCACTTAAGATGTGTGGTCCACAATTTTTTTTTGTTCTCTCCATCGTTCCATTTCAGGTGATGGGCTTTGTATATAAAGCTCCATCTTTGTAAAAACTTTAAGTAAGGTATGGTATTAGCATGAGAAAAATAAACGTTCGTGCTAACAATCTGTTAATAAATTGTCATCAAATAAATTATAAAAATCGGTATATTAAAAAGTGATCAAAAATATTTAGCCGTTGAACATAAAGAAGGTCACTGTTTGAATAATATATTCTTAGATAGAGTAAGATACGAATTGGATAAGGTATATTTTGAAATAAATACTCTGTGATACAATTTATGTGTAGTTGTTTATTCTAAGATATGAATTCCTTCAAGTATGGCGTCACGTGGAACTGTGTCGTGTACTTGACAATGTTGCTCGCGATTACCACCATAAACGACAGGGTAGTCGGACACTCGTATAAAACTGGAACAAAAAAATCATCATTATCAGCATCAGCCTATTAATTTCCCCACTGCTGGGGCACAAGCCTTCCCTATGGATGTAATAGGGGTAATCACCACGCGGGCCCAGTGCGGATTGGCGGGTGCTAACGACTGCATATGCAGCCGGGATCAAATGCTTAACGTGCCTTCCGAAGCGCGAAACGAACAAAAAAATATATCCATATTATTATAATGTTAAAGATAGCTTGCCTCATTGTCAAAGCGTCAAAAGTAAGCTGCAATAGGGGTGATGACGGGGTACAGTAAACGAAATTCTATTTAGTCCGTCAGTTAGATGATCAAAAAATAATGGACACGTATTTTTCTTTGGGCAATCAACCAAAAAATGACAGTTATAGCGCGTCTAAGTTTGGGAGTAGGGGCTCGTGACGTCACTTTTTAGTGGATTTTCACTTAGTGTACCAAAACGTGACGTCATGCGACTTTTCAAATCAATATATCTCTGCAATGTTTATATTGTGTGAAAAAAGAAGAAATACGTGTCCAAAACTTTTTGATAATCTACCTGATAAACTAAAACAAAAAATTAGTCATCATCCCTATTCTAAATAATAGGCACAGCTTGGATTTGGGCATCAGATAAGTCAAATAACTTTGTATTATATAAAAGTTTACCTACACACAAATTTTAAAAGTAAGCAAAAGGTGAAATATTAAATTCCATGAATTTATTTTATATTGCTGCTAGCAACTTAATTTTCCCGACTTCGTTTCTACGAAAAAATTAAGTGGTAAAAACCTTATATTTAGGTAAATACGCAGCCTTTTGATATGCAGTAGGTACCTTCTTGGATATCACAAATCTAGGAATCGAAAGAAAGAGTTTGAATACAGCATTTATTTATTTTTTATAACAGCTGTTGTAATTTATTTGCCTTTTCAAGGTTTTGAGGAAAACAATTATAGGTTCACATTTTCCTGTATTGATTCAACGTGTATTGCTTACTAACAGCACGGTAATAACAGTGTTGTTATTTTAAGATTAATTTGTAACTTTGGTACCTACTAAGGTACTTAAAATTATATAAATAACTACAAAGTCTTTATAAATATGTAAGGTAAGTGACACAAATAAGGCCTACTTACCTAATTTCAAACACTCATATCATGATAAATTATTCGAAGATGATAAATAAAAGCAAGGCATTATTCCTTGGTTCATAAATTTCAAGTAATTAAGAAAACATATTACAATCTATTACCAGAAATCACTTAATGAGCTAATTCTGGAACCTTAGCCTTAGGCCTTTTATATGTTTAACAAAGCCTATGCACTTAAATTATAGAAATAAGTATTATTATAAGAGTATAAATTATATTAAAATATGTATATCTGAGCCTTTCATCAAGTGTTTCCATGGGATCCTTGAACAACATTCTAATTTACTAAATATTTTGCTTAAATTGCTAAAACAATGATCTTAAATTGCTAGTCAGATTTGAAGTCGCATATTAACATGAGATAAAGAATAATATAAAAAACACATATCCACACAAACAAAAATTAGCAAATTAACATATCTTCTCGTAAATATTATTAAATATTGGAAAATGAATATATTATGATAGATATATTTGATAAAAATAAGGCCTTTTATAAAATATTTATTAAATTATACTTCATAAAAGTTATAAGTAGTATTTAATTCGCATATTCTAAAAAGTTAAATTTTAGTCAACTTTTTAATTAGTTATATTGTGATCCGTATACATTAAATGAAACAAAACTCCAAAGAATAACGTATTAAAATTCGTTAAAGACTACGACAAATTAATAACGCACTATAAAAAGCACGTCCTTCACAAAGTACCGCCACTACTGACGCTATGAGTTCGAGCTGACCGCTCGTGCACAGTTTGCCGAGTTGTAGAACTGTCATATATGCGCGTGTAAAGTATTTTTGATGTAAACGTATATTATAATAGAATTTTCTGCACTACAGGCCTTATTTCAGCATAGGCCTTTTTTGTTTAGTACCTTACTTTAAGATTGAAACAAAAAGGGAAGATATGGTACGCTCACACTAGCAGCAATAAAATATGATCCGACTTAACTACATACGCAACTGTCACACACGCACACTTTTGTAAATAAACATTCAATCGAGCGAGCGAGACAGAATTGTACGCTTCAACGCAGCGCGAGCGAAACGGCGCGAGTCCGCGTCGCTTTGCAGCCGACTGCGTTTTCTTTTCTCTCTCAACAGACGGCGGAGTTATATTGTTGTCTTTTTCTTGATAAAAAATGGCGAATCAGTAATTAACGTTCATGGCAAACCGTGATTATTGAAAAAATAATGTTTTTATAGTTTTACAAATGAAAAGTGTTGCAGTGGCATTTGATCTTGAGCTATTTGTGTTCTTTATAAAAACATCGAAGGCATTGCTTTATCTTTATAACACAGTATATACCGTAAGTGAGGGTTACTTTAGCTCGGGCGGGTAACTTTGTCCCAAATCAGAAAACTTATTGAACTTGCCGCACCATCAGTATCTCTTGGGTGACCGTAATAGTTCCAGTTGAAAATCACAGATAGCCATATAGGCGCGTAGTGTGGTGTTGTTTTACCGACATCGTTCCTGTATCAAGTTGTCATTGTAACGCGGGATTTTTTGTAACTGAAATAGTTCGCAAGTTCATGCGCAAACTTTCTCAAAACTGTGGTTTTCGGTAAGTTTACAATTTTTTCTTTAACTTAATTATTTTTGGGTAAAAACATCCATTTGTGTATTCAGTATGCTAATGGTGATCTGTTATAAGGGTTACTTAACCCCAACATGGCTTAAAATGAGTTTTTTTCACAGAGAAAACTCAACGAGCTAAAGTAACCCTCTTTAAGGCCAACTTTAGCCCAAAATTAAAAATATATATATGAACCCTTAAATAGTATTTTTTCCTATTTTCGTATGATAACTTTGTAACTTTAATAATAGGGGAGCCCAGGAGGGGATTTGGGGATTTACTCGAGCGCGGCAGATTAATATATGGAAAGATAACTTACATCTAGTAGAGCACCTCTACCAAATCTGAGGTCTCCATGTAGTGCCGCGCGCGTAGACCAGCCGATCAGAATATTTATTGAATTTTTTTTTAATTTAAAGGTAATAATTCAAAGATCATGGAAAACATATAATCTGCCGATTTGGACAACCCGAAGTAACAAAAATCGTTAATAAAGTGTTGCGCGTGCAGCTGCAGCGAAGCATGTATTTCATACTACGCGTCTCTCTCTATTTCGCTCTTTCTCTATCTTCCACTCTCTCGCACCGTCCCCACATCACTTTCTGTCTACCATTACGCTTTCACAGCAGATCAAAGCGCTCGTGAACCTCGTGGTATTATATGTACAACGCTCTGTTTGTTTTATTTGAAATTTTGTGTGTTTGATATTTACTATCATGAAGATGAGTGACAGTATTATAAAGTGTGTGTTTTGTGGACAAAATACATGTCAAAAGATTGTAAAATTTACATCGGTACAATTGTAAACCTTACCAGAGACTAAAATGTAACACTTTTTTTATTTTTATTTTATTATATTTATCTTTTTTTGAAATATCGAACATGTCTGTGAATATGTGAATAAAATTTTTCGCCAAATTTTCGCACGAACCGCTGAAGCAAATGAGCTGAATTTTTTACAATGAGCGTATCTTGGCCTAATTTAACCCTGATTAGATTTTCAGCTTATTTTTATTTGCATGCTGTTCTATACATACTCACCCGTGGCGGTATGTGTGTGTGTGAGGCAACAGTACCCGCTGGCCAGCGCGCGCCATACTCCGGGGCCCATACGTATACTCACCCGTGGCGGTATGTGTGTGTGTGAGGCAGCAGTACCCGCTGGCCAGCGCGCGCCGGCTCGCGCCCGCGCCGCCGTACTCGGCGCCCCACACGCTGGCCGGTAACGATAGCACTATGCTCGCGTGCGCCAGCGAGAAGCCTTTCAGCAACGTCGACGGTGACACTTCAACGAAACGCGAGAGTCAAAAACTTTTTAAACAAAAATAAAACCGACTTCAAAATTGAAAATGGAACTAAAAAGTAAAAAATATCATCTGGTTCAAGATTTGGAAGTCGGACGGGTCAAGATTCAAAGGCGTATTATTAGATACAGAAACGAACATCTATTTAATGTTTCAATCTTGAGCCCGCCCGACTTTCAAATCATGAACCAGATATTTGACGGAGAAATCGGTGAAAATGCATAAAAAAACATCGTGCGTGCCTTTGAAATTTGAAGGTTTCCCTCGATTTCCCTGGATTCCACCATCAGATTCTGATAATATAAAATGATCCTACTAATAATATAAAATGAAGGTAGGTACTATAAAATGAATTTATTCAGCTACTTAAATATGCCCATGTGTCATATCTATTGACTACCAGGATATTTTTTACGGCGTCATATCTTTTGACTCCCAGGATATTTATTTTCGGTGTCATAATAAAAAAGGCTAGTTTTTGAAGTTGCGTTATGAAAAAATGATGAGAGTGAAATTTTAAGATGCGCGCGCATCACTGTAACACAAAAATTAACAGCATGAAGTTGGTCGCATTAAGAAAATCTACCAACAAAATAGAAATAGAATCTCTATTTAGTGGGTGCTAACGACTGCATTGTGAAGGCCTATCAAAAGTATTTATTAATCTGGAACAACGGAACCAAAGCGCGATTCAGGAGACTACAGCGCCATCTCTTGACCATTGGTGTAGTAGAACCAAAATCCACATCTTTATTTTTTGTAATAAAGTAACAGTTATAGGTATTCATATTTATAATATTTATCCACATGTTTCTAGTTTGTATATTCGGAATACGTGTTTGAGTTTCATACAAGTGCAAATCACATATGTTCTAATAAATTATATTCAGTAGCGATTTTAATTGAATATTTTGATTATTTATTTATTTTTTCAAATTAAAACTGAACTTTATTGACTGTGTCCTTTTCCAGACTTTTTATTAATTTATTGTAATTAATTATTTGCATGCAATTAAAAACTAATTTTAAACGATGCCAAAGAAGGATAACTTCTCACGCGCCTACATAAGTACACGCACCCATTTTTTTATAGATCTATCGATTCATATTAATTTCATTGTTGGCGGAGCTGGGTGTGTTTTGCCCATTGTCTAGGTGTGAGCGTTCTAATGACGAACCGGTTTCAAGGACCGTTTTGTGTTCCACGACGATAGAACCGTTTTACGTTTCGGATCAAAACAGTCTTCGTCGAACAACAGGTCCTCGAATTGTCTGCACGCCAATATGTAGGTACTTTATGATGAAGTAAATACAGTCTATAGTAGAACGCAATGATATAAGGCCGTTTTGTTCTATGATAATTTAGCTTTGATTTTACAATAATATAATCTTTATTATTGAATATTTAAAGTCGATTATCGTATAATACTACATTTATTTCGATGTTTCGTCGTCTCGTTCGCAGCAACGAAACGAACGTTAATAAGATTTCATTTAGTTCAGTTTCGTTGCGTTATATTCGTTCGACCGTCGCGTGTCGTTTCGTTGCGTCACCCAGCCGCAACCAAAATCAGTTGCGAACGGGAACCGTTTTGAGGACTAGTTTTCGTTTAAGAGAAAACGGTTGCGTTTCGTCGTCAGATATTTTGAGAACGACCCACCATTGTCCTTTCTTCCTTGTCCGTCTTTTCTTGTGTTTGCGGAACGAAATAAAACTATGAGAATGTACTTGTAGAAAACTCCGAAGAAGAGGTTTATTAAATTTTTTTTTTATTCCTCCCAGGCGGGGGAGCGGATGTGAAATCCTCATGTATACCCTACACCCGGCTGCAAGGTTATGTCAGACTCCTACTGACTAAAACACACCCGTAAGTATATGCTTGCTTATTGCTTATGGCCTGAAGGGCCTTACAAGCTTCATCTGAAGCGATTATCCCCTGAGAGGGGGATAATGCAGCGCTGCGTTAGTTTAAACTAATGCATAGTTTAAAATAACGCATAATGCGCTAATATACGGGTGCACTCAGACGTGCACTCGAAACGGAAGGGGACTATTATTAAAGTGTAACGGCATCCATATATATATATATATATATATATATATATATATATATATATATATATATATATATTGATATGCAACATTAGGATAGCGCGAGTCACACTCATACAGCGCCATCTATTGACACACGAAGTAAACACATATACATACATTCCGCCCCCCAAAGGACGACTAGTCCTTTAATAAGTTTAGCAAATAAGAACATAACACAAAACAATCTATTATATATTATGAAACACATGTTGGAGTGTATATAAATCTAAAATAAACAAACTAAATAAAAATTAATCATTCTCAATTGGGAGGACGCAAAGTTTATGAATTGGTCTTTTAATTACAGAATTCTTACACTTAAGCGTAACGACTCGAACTAAGCCATCGCCACCAGGATGTATCTCTATAACTTTAGGCTATTAACCATTAAGAAGCTGGTAACCTTTCGTCTTTAACAATTACTTTAGGAAAGTATTAGTTTAAAAGTGTATATAATAATTACCTTAGGACTCATTTGAGTATGATTGCGTGTGTGTGTGTATCTCTCTCTGTATGTGTGCATGAGTTTGCGTGAATGTGTTGAGTGAACCCTGTATTCTATTAATAACGCATACTTTTAATAATCAAAGCACTACGCGTTCGCTTCGAATTGGCTACTTCCACCCTCCCAGCTTCAGAATACCGCGCCTTAGACAGTCCCTATTAGTAGACCTTATTGGACGATGGTACCAGTTGATGCGCCTGTGATTGGCTATCGACGGCCAACTCGAAGCAAACGAGTAGTCTTTAACGCCACTAATGTGATTCAACTTTTCTTTACTTTGTTTTTCACCTCCCTATTTTCTTGTATACCTACTTTTATCTTTACTATCCTTCTATGCTTCCTCTTTCAGACTTTTGCCCGTGCCCCTGGCTGTATCAAATAGCAGCCTCGAGCACGGACAGTATATTATTAAACATGTTGAAATTTGATTAAAAATAACATAATTAAAAAGACATATTGTAAAAAATCGAATAAAAAAAATTATGAAAAAAAAAAACTCCTATATAATTAGTACCACAATCACTTATCAATTTAGTACAATGACCTCTACGAGATACAAAACGCCAGAAAGCGGCCACGAAACCATCGGTACTTAAACTAGTAACTAATTCAAGATGCACAGCTTTGATTGCGGTGCAAATGTAAAAAACAATATAAGCTTTTTCAGTTTTGTTAGATCCTCGGCCGCTGAATAATTTTAGAATTACAGGACCCGCAAAGTCCACTCCAGTCACAATAAATGGCCGTTGAGGATTGACACGTTCTCTAGGTAAGTTACCCTTTTGCTGTGAACTCAAGTTAGCTCTATTTTTTGTACATATTATACACATATGAAGGATTGCTTTTAATATATATTTAAGCCCTATAATATGAAATTGGATCTGATATAATTTAACATCAATTGTACCTGCCCCCCCCCCCCCCCCCCCCCCATGCAAAGTTTTATAATGTGCATCTAGAACAATGAGATTTGATAGATTATCTTTAACCAAAATATAAGGATTCGTCATCTCAATACGCAGAGTGGAGTAATAAAGTCTGCCTCCTACTCGTAACAAACAATTCTCGTCAAGGTAAGGATTTAATTTAAGCAATTTAATCTCATCTGTAAAGGTATTTGACTGTGATATGTATAACAAAGTATTCATTGCTATATTCAATTCATTAGTTGTAAGCTAATTAGGGTAAGTTAATTTATATTTAGTTTTACGCTTATTCTTTAAACATTAATCGTAACATTCTACACACTATTATCATCTAAATTAGAGTATCTACATAATAAATCTAGAGATAATGCACTTTCACTAATATTAGATTTTTTATTCGCCACATTATTTGCACCATCATTCACTGACACATTTACTAATATTTTTCTTTCCTAATCCGTAGGTTCAACGACAGAAGAACGAATGGTGGGCAAGGGGCTTGTCTCTCTCAACCGGATAGGTCCTTGCCACCAAAGCCGATGCGCTGGAAGCTCTAGCGGCGAGATACCTCTCGACGCTACATCTGCAGGATTTTCCTCCGACGCGACGTGGTACCATCTACTCCTCTCAAACAGGTTAGTAATCTCAGTTACTCTGTTTGCAACAAACGTACACCGATAGCTCGGCGACTTCTGTAGTCATGCTAGGACTATAGTAGCATCAGTCCATGCATAAATGTGACGATTAGGAATGTTAAATGCAGTTTGTACTCGATGCAACAATTTGGCCAACAATAGATCTCCACGTAGCTCCAGTCTTGGGAGTGAAACTTGCCTTATGCAACCTTAGTCTTAGCTTCCACAATTGTTACATTAATGCTGTTTTGATTAATTACTCTACAATAAACTACAGCAGAGTAAGCTATACTCGATGCGTCCTAGGACCTAGAACTATGCTTATTTTTAAATGCAAAGAATATTATCATATTATGTATGACAGAGCACTGGCCCAGTAATTATGAAGTAGTTATGGGCTTAGATAATTATACAATTGCTAGTAGTTTTTGTAGGAAATCGGCTATCAGGGGAGGCTCTCTCATAATCTTACAGAACGATCTTAAATACAAAGAACGTACAGATATTGTTTCACTTTCAGGTGAACATAATATTGAACTATCTTGTGTGGAACTTGATGAAATGATCATAATATGTGTATATCGACCCCCATATGGGAATTATAGTCAATTTGAGTCCGCTATGGAAGACGCTTTCAATATAGTATGTAGATGTAATAAAGAGGTTGTTGTGTGTGGTGATTTTAATATAAATATTTTAGTTAAGTGTCCATTAGTGGGTAGGTTTCTAAACTTATTTATATCATATAACTTGAAGCATACCTTCTTTGAGCCTACCCGCATCACACATGCATCAGCAACCTGTTTGGATAATATTTTTT